TGTAAACAAGTTCACCGGGAAAATCCCGCCTTGCTACATCGATCATTTCGAGAAGTACGCAGAGAGCATCCTTGACTACAAGGACTGCCCCGTTCCCGAGCAGAGGAAGTTGTACGAGAGAAGGAGGAACAAAGTGCTGAACAATATCGCTGTCAGCGTAAACGAGAGGTTGAGCCGGCTGAGAAGCTGGAGCGGCAAGAAGCGCAAGCTCGTCTACACAGCGCCTCCTGCGAAGCCCGCTTGATGTACGAGTCATTCACCGATTGCTACATTCCGCCGATGGCAGACATTGCCAAGACTTATCGGCGCGACGAGGGAATTTGTGGTTGAGTATGTATTGCTTGGCACCATGTTCGCCAATTTAAGTCGCGTGCTCAAACCACCATACTTTCTTGTAGCAAGGCACGGGGCAGAGCCATCATCATGTACACACCAGTGACTCGCAAGAGGTGTTTTGTCTTCTGCATAGCCCTCGAGCAGCTGGCCGCGGCACAACAGGCACTGTTTTCCCGCCATCGGCATGACGGAAACAAAAATGTAACCATTGCCGTTCAAATGTTTCAATTTATCCAACACCTCACCGGTCATACCCTCTACCCTCCTCGCGCAACACGCGATGAATACATCCAAACAAGCATTCTAAGTCACTTTAACGTCAACAGCACACCGCTGGCCACGCCATATGGCCGCCTCGTTCTCAGGCAACAGCTGCGCAACAGCAATCAGGGAGCTTCGTTGTGGTCCTTCAGGCGACGCGCGGCAAGCTTGCATGAACTGTCGCTCAGCTTCCTCACGCGCTTGGCCCGGCTGAGAGTATGCGGCGGCGGCGCGGACAATCTGTGCCACCTTCGCATCGACTGCGTGGGAGGCGGGCGCCGGTTCCTCCAATTTTGTGTCTTTGCCACTATCGGAGATGTCGTGGACAACGGCAGCCGGCTCTTCAAGTTCGGTGTCTGTGACCGGGCCGTGATTGCTTCCGTCATCCGATATTTCGGAGTTTCCCATCCTGGTTTTTATCATTTGTAATGTCGTGTGTGTGATTACGAGAGTCTGTTGTGGAAGAGCAACGCATGCTGTGCGGAAATACACGTTCCAATAGAGAATAAAAGCGTGCGCGCAGCACCCGCGCACGAAACAAGGACGTGCTTCCACTTGCTGGCAGTGAGACGTACTGAATACACAGGCGGACAATCTGTGCCACCCCCGCACCGGCTGCGTGGAAGGCGGGCGCCGGTTCCTCCAATTCTGTGTCTGTGTCACTATCGGAGATGTCGCGGACGACGGGAGCCGGCTCTTCAAGTTCGGTTTCGGTGACCGGGCCGACAGTGCTTCCGCCATCCGATACTTCGTAGTTTTCCATCCTGGGCTTTTAGGAAGTCTGTTGTGTGGAAACAAACGTTCCGAGATGTAGAATAAAAGCGTGCGCCCAGCACCCACGCATGAAACAAGGACGTGCTTCCGCTTGCTGGCCGTGACACGTATTGAATACACAGGCGGCCAGTCTGTGCCACCTCCGCACCGGCCGCGTGAGAGGCGGCCGCCGGTTTCCCCGATTGTAAGGTCTGTGTCACTGTTGGAGATGAATTGGACGACGGGAGCTGACTCTTTAAGTTTGGTGTCTGTGACCGGGCCGTGATTGCCCCCGTCGTCCGACATCTCGAAGTTTCCCATCCTGGGTTTTGGTTTGCAATGTCTGCGTTGTTAGGAAAGTCTGCTGTGACGAGCAAGGCGTGCTGGGTGGAAGCACACGTTCCGATATAAGTGCGCGCAGCACCCACGCATTAAACAAGAACCTGCTTCAGCTTGGTAAACGTATGTCACAGCCGGTCAGTCTGTGCCACCTCTGCATCGGCTGCGTGGAAGGCGGGCGCCGGTTCCTCCAATGCTGTGTCTGTGTCGCTGTCGGAGATGTCGTGGACGACGGGAGCCGGCTCTTCAAGTTCGGTGTCTGTGATCGACCCGTTAGTGCTTTCGTCATTTGATCTGGGCACCGGAATTGGCTTGGAATTTCACCTTACCGGCAGCGACAGTGTTTCCTCATGCATGTGTTGTTAAGAAAGCCTGCTGTGAAGAGCAAGGCGTGGGTGTGGAAGCACACGTTCTGATGTAGGAAAAAAACGTACGCGCAGCACCCGCGCATAAAACAAGGATGTGCTCCCGCTTGCAGGCAGTGAGACGTGTTGGAGACACACGCTGACAATCTGTGCCACCTCCGCACCGGCCGCGTGAGAGGCGTCCGCCGGTATCCCCGATTTTAAGGTCTGTGTCACTGTTGGAGATTAATTGGACGACGGGAGCCGACTCTTTAAGTTTGGTGTCTGTGACCGGGCCGTGATTGCCCCCGTCGTCCGACATCTCGGAGTTTTCCTCTTGGGTTTTCAATTTCCAATGTGCGTGTTGTTAGGAAAGTGTGTTTTGAAGAGCAACGCGTGCTGTGTGGAAACACACGTTCCGATAGAGAACAAAAGCGTGTGCGCAGCACCCACACATGAAACAATGACGTGCTTCCACTTGCTGGCAGTGAGACGTGTTGCGGACAATCGGTGCCACCTCCGCATCGGCAGCGTGGAAGGCGAGCGCCGGTTCCTTCAACTCTGTGTCTGTGTCACTATCGGATGTCGTGGACGACGACAGCCGGGTCTTCAAGTTCGGTGTCTGTGACCGACCCGTTCCTGCTTGGAGTTGGCTGGGTGGAAGACCTCACCGCCACCGAGAGTGTTTCCCGTCCTTGTATGAGGATGAGTTTGATTTGTACAGGACGTGTGTGGCTATTCGCTGTTGGATGTCTGCTGTTGCATGTAGACAAGGTTTCATTGCCACACCAACAGAGAGGCGGAATCATTGTTGTTTCCCAAACCCACTCTTTGATCATACCAAGAGAAAAACGAGCGCGCAGAACACACGAATATACAATGAAACATTTCCCGCTTTGCCGCCAAAGCAAGCAGTATATTTTGGCAATGACAGTGCACGAGAATGCGTCACACGTGCTTCTATGTGAGCTAGAACTGTGAGGTCGATGAATCAAGCCAGACCAATCTGCTGATATGTTTTCCACACACGGATTCCACACACAACGCCAGTCACGATAGATGAAGCTGAGAGAGGGGTACAAGTTCCAATCTAGGGACAATACACCTAACCGACTGATTGCAAAAACGCTTGTGTTTGGACGAGACAGCATGTGTGTGGCGTAACATGAGGTACCACACCTGTAGGAGCACACGCAGGAGGATGGATCAGCGGCAGAGAAGTGGCAAAGGTCTTCTCACACTCACGAAAAACGAAAGCAAGCACGCACGTGCTCTCAAAGCTCCGCTGTGCGTGTGTGTGTCGGGGACGATAGACCCCATTCCCCGTGTTCATGACAAACCTAAAACCCTTGGCTCTGTTTTTCTGAATTTAATCTATTTCTCACCTGAAGGTTCTATGGCCCACGTCGAGGGGGCAATCGCCGCCACCTCTCACATCCATCCTTGGCATCCCGGTGGCTCTCCGTCCAAATGTTCCCTAGCTGCAACGCCCGCCCATCTCACACACACGCATTCGCGTCTACATCGATCGAAGAGCCGCGCCGAAGAGGGGTACGGGTCAAGAGTGCGGGTGGAGGGAGGGTAAGTGTACGAGAGAGAGAGAGAGCGGGAAATTACGAGGCGCACAATATAGGAGACTACGCAGAAAAACAAAACAAGGGACGATGTGCGCGGTTAGGCTGCGTGAGGGGGTTCGTATGGGATGAGACGGGATACCGGGGGGACGAGACTATCTGCACCACTCTCGCATGGGGTATGGGCATTGCACTTACATTCGAGAGTGTCTCGAGGTGAGAGAGCGCCGGCGGGATTTGTGCTGTATGGAGTAATACAAGACACGTATATCGTTTGATCTGATGCACGCACACACTGCAACATCCACGTGCACCAAGCCGAAGCTTTCCGCACCGTAAAGTGCTACATGCGCTGCGCATGAAATCTAAACCGTACGCAACTGGAACCTCACCTACTTTCGACACCCACAAAGGCCCTTTTCAAGCAAATCCAAGCACGCGACTCAGCAGTGCAGACAAAGAGCACGGGTGAAGAGCGCAAAGGATGCTTTATTTCACTGGCCTGTGATGGGAGACCGCAAGTTCAAGGGCGTGGGGAGAATATGGGGCGACAGGGCGCAAGCACTGGAGAAATATCGAAAGGGGCGCGGCGACGTGGGATATCAGGGTAAAGGGGCGCCCGCGCGACTGGTGTTCGGGCGAAACGAGATTATCTACACTCTTCAAATGATTTTGAGCATATCTCGGTGAACCATGCGTACGAGAGATTCTCGAGGTGGCAAAAAGTGAGCGGATTTTGTTTCAAACTTTGAATGGCAGGACAGTGCACGCAAGCCAGTGCAACACGCAAGCCAAACCCGAAACCAGGCGACGGCGATAGGATCGAGGAACGCAGTACGCTTCCTCTACTCCGACTCTACTCTCTCTCGTTGATTGAAATATTTCTCCTGCATTTTACCTCTCTCTCTCTGTCGACACACCGTGAAGCAGTTGTCACCACTCAGCAGGAAATCCGCGCCTCTGTTCGTCTTCTGCCGTCTCGCGTCGGTGTACTCGGTGCCTGCGTGCGGCGAAGGAAAAATTTGCAAATCGGGAAAGCATTGTGAAAGCGGGAGCTACGACAATTCAACACTCGGATATCATTGATGTGTGAGATAAGGGCCAATCGCCCCGAACGCATGTGGTTTTGAAACCAAGGACGACCTCGCGACAATGACTTTGCAAAACAACACGTACAATGAACCACAGGTCAATATAGTTCAGACACCTGCCTGCGCGCTTTGAGCTAGCTACAACCAGACGGAGGCGTGGTGTTTTCCTAACGAAATGTTGAGGAGGCACTAAGGTGCCCCAGCTCAACAAGGGAGCAGAAAGTTTTCCGAGGTCAACAACTGTCCTGTGGTATGATAGGCGCGTGCCCGTGCCGCAGCTTGCGCCTGCCGACTCTCACTCGCTATGCTTCCCACTGACACTGGCTCCTCGTTCCCCCTCCGCCGATCGGCAGCGGGCGAATCCCGTAATCCAAGCGCGTGAACCACCTGCGTAGAAAAAGGGACATGTGATTGCTGTACAATAGGTAGTCGCGCGTGGCGTGTAAGCGAGAGAGAGAGTAAGGAGGTAAGCGAACAAGAATGTCATCTGTCTGTCTCTCCCAAAGCTTGGCGAATATAAACAGCAGCGCCGAAAACAGCGCACGAACAGTTCGTAAAACCCCGCCACAGGCGTGATGAAGAACCATGGTACCGTGGGCGTCGTTGGTCTTCTTAGTCCTCTGCACTCCAACGACACACGAAGCTCAAAACAAGAAGGGCTCTCACCGTTTTCGCCAGATCCATCTGTCCGACCAGCAGCAACAAACAGGCGAGAGGGCACGGGTGCTTTCCGTGGTGCGTGCCTGCTGGGACACCTAAGAAAAGACAACGAGAGAAACGAGAGGCAGAGGTTCGTCAACGAGGACAGGAGCATACGTTAACAAGCGTGACAATAAAAATCGATGGCACAGAAAATAGAAGCCCAAAAACAGACTGCAAAGGCAAGATCCACAGCGGGGAGGAGTACGCAAAACGGACGCGAAGAGCACACTTTCTGTGATACCCATACCACTCCACAAATGATTTCCTGCACGTGGTTGTTCGCTCTCGTCTGTCCTCATTATTGGATAGATTTTGTCGGCCCAAGAAAAGGTTCGGCGGGTAGAACAACCACATGGAATGGTCGTGTCATAATGGCAAACGGAGAGACTCACAGAAAACAACTTTGCGGAATACGACTGCTTTCACGACAACTTCTTTACACACATTTGCAATCGACAGAAGCCACGGTGGAGTAGGAACAAAGTATTTGCAACCAAACCAAGACGTTCAAAGGCATTTTCACACTGGTTTGCGCGCACAGGTTTCCCCATCCAGCATCAGTATTGCTGGTTCTTGAAAAAACGCGTGAAAACGTCGACAACACAAACTGGTACCGCGGAAATAACAATGGGGGCAGAAACAGCTATTTCCCAAGCTAATTAGGTTCCCGACACAGCAAAGCGGCTGAGAAAAGCGGTTGAGAGCTTTCCGAGGTCAAGGTAGTCCAATGGTTTCGTGCCACAGGCGAGCCACGATCAACAATGAAACCACGGAACCCGAATCTCACCTGCTACGCTTTTACCACACGAGATGCTCCGGGCGAAAAAAAGGACCACCGCCGGTCAGCACCAGATGAATCCCCGGAGGATCCAAGCGCACGAACCCGCCCGCAAAATACAAAAGGGGATAGGTGGGGAATGCAGGTGTCGCGTGTGGCGTACTTCTCCAAAACCTGCGGAGAGAGCGGGAAAAGGGCAAGAAAAGATTGGAAAATCAGCCTCACTTACAAACTTACCAAAGGTACACCTGTCTCACTCTCATCGGAAGCTGGCAGCAGCGTAAAAAACAGATCGTCAAACCCAAGCAAGTGCACGATTGAGAACCGTGGCGCTGGATCTTGTATTTCTGTGCTCTTCAACGACGCACAAGGTCCACTGACAGTAAGGGCAGGTACTGGTCTCCTCCAATCCACAGCAAGAACAGACCAGAGGCTACAGGCGCTCTCCGCGGCGCGTGTCTGCTGAGTCACCTACCCAAAGAAGAAGACGGAAACGATTGAGCGACAGAGCAATTGCGCAGGAAAAATGAGACCAGAACCAGCATGCGTAAGTAAAACCAAGAGGCAAAGAGTACGCGGAGAGCACGCACTCTCTGCTGCTTCTTCTCCTATGCTCGTCCTTTCTCTCTCTACGCGTGGTTGTTCTCTCTTTTTCCTCGCTACTCTCTGGGTCAGGGTAGCTAGTCGCACAGGAGCGTCAGCAGATGCAGCAAGTTACCACTCGGAATGGATGCTGGTGAGGAAATGGTAAAATACTCGGGACGCATGTGCTTTACACGGAGAGATAAGGCCCCATATATTCCCAACGAGCAGGATAAAGGGGTGGACCGTGCCACAAACGTGCTGCGGGAAAATGTGAAACCACATCACCTCACCTGCTGTGTTTCCCACCAACACAAGACCTTCTTGTTCCCCGCGCCAAAAGAACGAGATACCCGCCAATCAGCAGCGGGTTCATCACCACAGTTCCAAGCGCAATCCAGCTGCGTCAAAAAAGGCACCGGTAGTCGCACGTGGCGGTTTCCAAAGCACTGTGATGTCGGTGTGTGTGCGTGTGCGAGACAAATATCGAGAGAGAGAGAAAGAGAGAGACAGACAGAGACAGAGAGAGGGAGCGGGAAAAGGGGCGGGAAAAAGTGCCTCAAATGAGAGAAATAACCACGGGGTGACATTGAAACAAGCGAGCGGAGGCAACACGCGACCATTTACGTATCTCTTGGCCCTACCGTCTCACACGCAGCTGTAAGAGGCACCTTGCTTCAGGGTCATTCTACTACTCTAACACGCGCACACCACCATGGATCACCGCTCCGTGGACAAACAGGATTCGTCTCCGTTCAACACACGAGAGCTGCAAAAGTAAAAGCTTTTGTAGTTCGATTGTCTCATCGGGTGGTGCAGGGTTCAAAGAATCAGCATCAGTTTGGAGTGTGCACGAAAACACGGTTGGACAGAGAGGAGTCATGGGATGTATGTAGAGCAACGATACCATTGAAGCAACATAGTGCGACGCATTGGGTACAGCGGCAACGAAATAAAGGTGCATATCGTGCCACAAGTGCCGCACTGGAATATAATACGACACCGGAACAGGGGGAACTTCACCTGCTCTGCTTTCATCAGACAAGATCTATCCCCCGCCTGAGAAGAACAAGAATCTCTGCCAATCAGCAGCGGACCCAAACGCGCGATCTAGCCGCGCCGAAAAAGGGACAGGTCGCGCTGGCGTACTTCTTGCGAAGGAGAGCGCGAAAAGGCTGCGAGAAAGGGAGAGTTATCATAGAGAGAGAGAGAGAGAGAGAGAGAGAGAGAGAGAGAGAGAGAGAGAGTTTAATCTCAGTGGGATACAAGTGGAATGGGCAAGCCGTGGCTACAACATGACCCAACCACATGTAGCCGACGACTGTGCATTCAGCCTTGACTAAGGTTACTCTGAAATCTGGCCCTTGTTGCTCACGACTCCTAAATCCTCCATGAATAATACGCGCACAACACGATAAAAAGACAGAGCTACAGCAGTTCGATAATATGTGTTTCGGATGCCTACCTATACGGGAATGCTGTACGGAGAGGTCCGTTTCACGTGAAGGGTTCTTGAGAATAGGTTGGGTTGCCTTTGCCCTTGCACTTTGCACGGAGAGTCGAGATGGGTATCTGCAGGGCAACGGCACACCTACGACGCACCTGTCTGCGTTTTACCTACTTCATCCTGAATCTAAGACCTCCGGTGAGCAGTAGCAGCAGCAAAATGGAGCGGGACAAGAGGCACACGAGCTTGATCCGCACTCCACTTTTGCTTTGTCTGCCTCTCATCTCCGCTGTGTTTATCCTTGTAAGCGATTGGGTCAAACACATACACACGCGCACGCACGCACCAGTGTACCACACAGAGCGGGATTATTCATAGCTGCCATCGCTTCACACCCCGTCGCTTACCTTTCCTTCGCCATGGATGCGTGCCGCTAGATGGGAGGAAGCAGAGAGAGGATGTAGGCGGCAGCACACAAATCGCGGCGGAATTACACACGGTGACGCCGACAGCGCCGACGCATATACTGGGCGGTACTAAAGCGCCGAGAGAGGGAAAGGGGAAGAGACGGGGTGGAGACAGAGGGCACGAGAGGAGAAAGCTTGCGCGAGTGGGTGAAGGAGCGATAGTGGTTTGGAGTACTGGTGCAGAAGGTGAGAATCATCCGGGAGGCGTCTTGCCACACATCGCAACAATTGATACCTGGAGGGGATCCAGAGAGAGCAAACTGCGTCTGTCTCTCCTTGTTCATTTGTTACACCCGCACATCGTTGGGCCAGCGCCGCATCTCCTGTTGGTCGACAGACCAGTCTTTCGTTATGAAAGGGAGAGGGAGGGTCAAACAGCTTTGAGTGTTGAGTAGGTTTATCGTACTTGCACAACCTCTTCCATGTTCATTTCGGCAAGAAGCTAAGGCTGTAACAGCGATTCTTTGTCCGACTAGAAGCACCGATCCCGCCCTCTCCCATCAAAGCAACATTTGATGGATCGACGAAAGAGAGAGAGAGTAAAGTTCGAACAGCCATGATGTGTCCGACGCTTGGTCGCACGCACCGAACCTCCTGTCGTTCTTCAAACAGCATTTTTGAAACCGTGGAGAGAGAGAGAGCAAAATTCGAATCCTGTGATGATGAGCGCGACAATTTGGCGCGTACGCAAGAAGCACCGATCCCCCTCTCGTTTCTTCCAAACAAGCTTTTCACGCATGGGCGAAAGAGAGAGAGTAAAGTTCGAACGGCCACGATGTGTCCGACGCTTGGTCGGGCGCCCAAGGAGCGCCAATGTTCCGTTCGTTCCACAAACCAGCAATTTTTAGTATGCGAGAGGCAGAAACCAAAGTTCAAATAGCCATGACGTGTCAAATCGTGTCTCGCGCGGGTAAGGATCGCCGATCGTGCTCTCGTTTCCAAACCAGCTTTTTTTTTATCGGGGAAAGGCAGAGAGCAAAGTTCGAACACTATTACGTCCCACGCTTGGATCGCGTGGGTAAGGATCGCCGATCGTGCTCTCGTTCCACCAAGCAGCTGTACAACATCGGGGAGACGGAGAGAGCAAAGCGAAAAGCTATGATGTGTCCTCTCTCGTTTGCCAAACCTTCTTTTTGCAAGTCAGAGAGGAAGAGCGTAGTTCAAACAGCCGTGATGAGCCGACGATTTATCGCGCGCACGCAAGAAGCACCGACCCCTCGCTCGTTTTCCAACCATGCTGTGCATAAGTCAGAGAAGGAAAGAGGGCAGTCAAACAGCCATGATTGATGTGTCCGTCGCTTTGCCACGCGAACAAGTAGCATCCCACTCAGTTTGTTCTTGAAACCAGCATTTTTGCAATTGGGGAGAGCATGAAGGCAAAAGTTCGAGCAGCCATGATGTTTCGGAGGATTGTCGCGCGCGCAAGAAGCACCGATCCTACTCTAGTTCTTCAAACCAGCTTTTTGTAGGTCAGGGAGAGGGAGAGAGCACAGTTCAAATAACCATGCTGTGTCCCACGCTTGGTCGTACACCCGAAACACACCGATCCCTCTGTCGTACCACGCACCAGCGATTTTCAAATTCAGGAAAGGCCGAGAGCAAAGTCCGAATACCCATGATGTGTCCGACGCTTTGTGGCGCTCGCAAGAAGCACCGATCTTTCCCTTGTTCCACAACCCAGCTTTTTTGTAGTCGGGGAGGGGCAAAGTGCAAAGTTTGAGCATCCATGGTGTGTCCGACGCTTGGTCGCGCACGCAAGAGGCACCGATCTTGTCTTCTTCAAACCAGCTGTTCATATGTCAGAGAGGGAGAGAGCAACTTTCGAACACCATGACACAAAGGAGCACCGATACTCCGTTCGTTCCACAAACCAGCAATTTTCAATCCTAAGAACAGGCAGAAACCAAAGTTCATCAAACGGTTTATCTCGCACGCGAGGAGCATCGATATGAATTTTTCAAATCGGGGACAGGGAGAGAGCAGAGTCCGAGCAGCCATGATGTGCTAGACGCTTGGTCGCGCGCGCAAGGAAGCGCCGACCCTCTGTTCCACAACAGCTTCTTATACAACGATCGAAACAGCCATGATATGTCCGACGGTGTGTTGCGCACGCTAGGAGCACCGATCGTGCTCTCGTTCCACCGACTTGCGTATATCAAATCGGGGACAGGGAGAGAGCAANTGAATTTTTCAAATCGGGGACAGGGAGAGAGCAGAGTCCGAGCAGCCATGATGTGCTAGACGCTTGGTCGCGCGCGCAAGGAAGCGCCGACCCTCTGTTCCACAACAGCGTCTTATACAACGATCGAAACAGCCATGATATGTCCGACGGTGTGTTGCGCACGCGAGGAACACCAATCGCGCTCTCGTTCCACAAACCAGCATTTATTGAATCGGGGAGAGGGAGAGAGCAACGTTCGCAAAGCTATAATGTGTCCGACAAGTGTCGCGTGCGCAAGGAGCACAGGTCCTCCGTTCGTGTTTCAATCGGTCAGAGGGAGAGAGGGAAGTGCGAATAGATCGGAGCGAGCCTCGCCGATTTATCCCCATTTAGAAGAGTGCTGAATAACGGAACATTCCACGTTCCGTCCCGGTTTCGACCGTGGGCGGTTTTCTCGATTCTGGAGACGATTCGTACGCCGACGGATGGCTCCAAAGGAAGCCATGTGCACGTAGAACAATGTGCTCATGTACTGCGTTGTTTAATTGATAGACAAATGGTTTCGTGCTTGCCCGCGTGGCACCATGTACGCCAGTGTCGACAAAAATCCGAAGGCAAGAAGCAGATCAAGTCTGAGCTACCCACGGATCGCCTGCCCGGCCTGGCTACCTAGCCCAACACCCACGAATGCTCAAATCTGCGCAATGGATGTTTCATCCCCACGCACTGACGCTTTACACTGAGGGGTAGCAACGCCGTGCCCTGGATCTATGTGTGACTTATGTTCGCGGAACAAGAGCTGTCTGCGTGATAGGTGCCTTGGTCTCGATCTCCTCCACGCGTTGATCGGGCTCCTGTTGTTGTGCTCGAGGCTTCTGCAGTTGTTCCGGTGGCGGCTGCCGGTGCCTTCGCTTGCGCTCTTTGCTAGCACTAGAAGCCCGCACTCTCTAGAGCTCGATATGTTGATAGAACCGGCACTGTTGTCTAGTAGACTCAGTGTGGCGGACGTTTGGAGCATTGACAAGGTCGCCGGAAGGGTCGATCACGATGGTGTTCATGATTTGATTCATGTCAAAGCGTCTGAGGGCGGTACTGGTTGTTGTGCGGCACGTACACACGTTTTCCAACTCCCTACGTTTTGTGTGAACAATCGCAACAAGATCCTTCCCTAGACCGGCGCTCTTTTTTTCGCCCCCCCCCACCCAATCCGTTTCGGCTATCGGGACAGCAGGCCGATTGAGTACCTCCGACACAACCATGGGATCGAACCCCTTCCTTTTCCCTAAGAATTGAAACACCCCAAAAACCCCTGTATCGATGTCGTACAGAACTGCCCAGTAAACAGCGAAACACCCTAGAAAAAAGCGGAGCACACCGCCGTGCGAAACTCTTCTTTCGACCTTGCCCAAGTGACAACTGGGTTCCATCCTGGTATTAGACTCCCTCGTTTTTATCCGGGAGGTACCCGAGGAAAGCTCCATCCTGCTTTTCGTTGTACCTGTCGACAAGACGCGGGGAGAGGAGGGAAGCGTTTTAGCCTTCTTTAAAATTGTATATTGTCCGCAACACACGCCCGAATAGTTCAACAACACCACGCACCTAGACATAGCTGCCACGAGCACCCGAGGCTTCGCCGCCCTCCGCTTCAGAAGCGGGAGCATGCGAGCGATCGATGTTGATTTCTTCCGGGACGCACGCTCTACAGAACGACCGGTGTCGATTGGCCACGTCCAGGACACCGCGTGAACTGCCTCCTCCTGTCGCAGCAGGCGGATGACACCCTTCAGCCCCCGCACCATCTCGCGGTGGACTCGCATTGAACTGAATCTGCGAAAATAAGATGTAGCCAAGTCCAGGGGCGTGCCGATGAACAATTCTTCTTCTTCCCCCTCATCGCTGTCGCACGGAAACCGAACGCCCGATGTCGCGTCCACCCCGGCTTCGAGTAGCAAGCGCGCGAATCTGGGAGCATGAAAGCTTCCCAGATTGAATGTGTACACGAATTCGTCATAGGTTTCCGGTAGAGTACCGTGGTCCATATTGACGTAGGCGCGCGTACCTGTGTTGGCATTTCCCCCCTGTCTCCGCAGCAAAAGGTAGACGCACGCCTCGCTACATCCCTCAATGGCGGCACACAGGGCCACGCCCTCCGTATCAACAACACCGGCATCGCACAGAAATGCAATTGCGAGAAGCGGCCGTGGTGAGAGCCAGTACAATGCCGTCGCTTGTACAGCGATCGATTCCGTACCAATACACAAGCTCGCGGACCACTTTCACATGTCCGTTGTAAACCGCCATATATAACGGGAGACTGCCGTGCGCTGACAAGAGCGGATTCGCGTTCGCCCGAAGGAGAACCCTGACCGCTCCGAGCCGCCTGTCGCTTGCCGCGAAGAACAGCGGTGTTGCTCCGTCGTCGATCCTGCTGTCCATCAGCACCAGCATTCCTTGGTAAAACCCTTTCGTCGCGGCCACGTGAAGTGGTGTATCATACACACCACCGGGCCTCGCTTCAAGGTTCGCTCCCGCCTCGATCAGGTCTTTGGTCACGGCCAGGTGTTTGTGATACACCGCGTGGTGCAGAGCAGTATAACCGTCGCTGTCCGCTACCGAGACGCTGGCACCCTGCCTCAGAAGGTCTCTGACAACGCGCAAGGAACCAATGACGGAGGCCAACATCAGCGGTGTCTGGTTCGTATCACCGCAGCGTCGGTCGATGTCGGTCGTAGCAATGGTAGGATCGGCGGAGCCGCTGGCTTTGCTCAGAGTTGATGGCATGTTGGAGAGAGTGCCTATTGTCTTTTCGTTCAATCTCTATAGTTTTCTGTTAACAATCGCGCACCACATTTACGTTACCCTCCTCCTCCTGGTACTCCTTCCGATGTATGGTCATCCTAGTCTTTTCGGCAAGCTTCTGGTCGCTTGATTTTTTAGAACGTCTGCCTGGCGCCCGGCCGCCGTAGCCGTAGCCTTAGCTGCTTTGGTCCTTTTCGAAGCTGCAGCCACAGCAGATGGTGGCGACTTGCGTTTCGTACCGGTTGATCTGACTCGTTTCTCGTTGGCTGCGGCCGCGGCAACCTTCTTCTCTACCCGTCTGCGCCCGGCAGCAGCACACTCCTCCTCCTTTTGTACCTTCTCCACGGAAACAACAGCTTTGCTAGCCTTCCACACTGCTTTCTCTTTGGTGACGATGTCCGCGGATTCTCTCGCTGCCCCCATTGCCTCCAGCGTTTGAGGGATGCTGTTTTTCTTCAAAAAAATGTTTTTGCCGGCTTTGTCCACGTGCTTGTAAAAATATGCGCAGATATGTTTCTTGTACTCAGCTTGCGTCTGTTTCGTAGTCTAGTTGTTGCCCGCGATCGGGACGAGCGTTTCACGACGTTCGTTTTTAACTTGACGTAGTGCAGAGAAGCTGGCGTTTGTGGGTGCGAAGAAAAATAACCCAGGAGTTGGGAGCAAGACGTTTCTCTTGTCTATTGTCTGGTAGCATTTGGCCGTACCCCTGCAGGTCATTTCCTTGATTGCGGTTGTTACACCATGGCAACAAAAACGTCGCGTGAGTTCAACCTCGAACCCGAACCGCAATGATGTTTTTTCCTGAACCCGCCCCATGTTTTGCGCTCGCGCCTCGTGTCACAGCAGGGCGCGTCGCCCCGAGGGCGCAGAAGCAGTACCACCCTTCAGCGACAGTACCAGCATCAAGCTTTCCAGAGCAGGACTAAGCAGCAGCGGCAGAAGCACCACCCCCGTCTTCCATTTTTTTTTCTACGATACACCATAAAAACCTGAACCGCCCCCCCTCCCTCACGTGACTGAACAGGCGCGTCAGATCGTCAGAGCAGTAACAGCAGCAGCAGGAGCAGTAGGAACCGATGGGTGCGCCAGCAGCAGGAGCCGGAGCACGAGGTTCGTGTATGCGGTGTCTTTGTTTTCGCAATTGCGCGTTTGCTTTTGGGGCGGTTGTGTGGCGTGGCGGAGAAGCCACGCATGTGAGATGACGAGACAGCTTATATTAGGCAAAAGTTGAGAGATACCTGTCCCCCCTGGGGGGTAGGCGGCTTCCATTCGCGCATCTCTTTATTTTTTGGGCATGTCTGAGTCGCTTCATTTTTCGTGTGTGTGACGCGAACAATATTCTCCGAAATCCCCTCCCCCCCCCTCTATCCGATGATCCCTAGGGTTCGCTCCGGCGTTTGAAGATTACAGCGTAGTTTAAACACTTCGGTAGACCACAAGACTAGTACCCTCATGTGGGTCACATCAAATGTATTTCTCGTATCAACGTCTGTTTTTGGGGCGGGCGTCGCTAGTCTCGTGTTCAAACAGTTTCAAGGGGAGCCGACAAAGCGGGTGTCAAGATCCCAATCGTCGACGTTGCTTTCGGAACGTTTTGTTTCTTCCTGCTCGGGACTGTCCCTCTCGTTGTTTGCCGAAGGTGCAGCTCCTCTCAGAATACGACTATCTTCGTTCAGTTGTTGAACCTCGGCTCTCAAGCTGTTCGTTGTCAAAAGGCCTTCGTCTACAGCAACCCTCAACAAACGTATGGTCCGCTCCAGGTCGGTCTCGGCTCGATTCAAGCCATCGATAGTACGGTCTTTTCCCCTGGATTCTCCGCGCAACCGAGAAATAGCAGCGATATCATCCTCTAGACGATATAGCTCAGCACGCATCGAGGCCTTTTCAGACTCGCACGTTTCGAGAGACTGCCCGCATGCCAGCAACTGAGCTTCCAATCGTTCAATATTTTGCTTCATGCTGGAGATTCGGAAATCATCTACTGATCCATTCCATGCAAAATGAGCGACATCGGCTCCATACGATCTGGTAAGCAATTTCAACGTGGTTGGGTGATTCAAATGCTGCTGCACCGGAGCAGTTGGCTCTGTTGTGTATGAGTATGTCGTATCCAGATTCATCTGCCAACGTTGCACAATTTTTCCCCGGGCTTGTACGTCTTGCGTTTTTCTTTCTGCTTCCAAACGTCTGGGTTAACGTAACTAGACAAGAGGCGCCCTTCTGACGACGACGACGACAAAGGCGAAGACGGCGCGATCGCGGTCAAGGTCAAGACGGATGTCTAGACGGAGGCCAAGATGGAGGAGCTCCGGGAGCCTCCGGAGCCGCTGAAGATGAAGAAGAGGGCGAGGTTGATGAAGATGGAGACGGAGGAGACAGCAGGGGATTGTAGCGGGGGCGTAGTTCGCCGACTGAGTTGTTTGGACTTCGTGGCAAGCTTTAAGGGGGATGCACAAGTTGGNCAGCAGGGGATTGTAGCGGGGGCGTAGTTCGCCGACTGAGTTGTTTGGACTTCGTGGCAAGCTTTAAGGGGGATGCACAAGTTGGACGGGAAATGACGCCCTAATATAGTAACAACTAAGTTGAAACTTGACGCTATTCCGTTTTGTTTTTTTAACCGTTGAACTTCTCAACAAGGGGGATGGTGGATGATTTCAACGTGGCACCATTGAAATATCTTGCCGAGAGCTCTCTTCAGGCGTACCGTTTGTATTTCTCTTCCCCCCCTAGTTTTTTTTTGGCTGAGAAAAGTGTCACCGTTCCGTGTCGTGGAGAAATCGCAATTTGAACAATTGGCCCAGGGGGTGTGTGATATATTACGTCATGTGTATCACTGTCCATTTTTCGTGAATTTGACAATCTTTCTTGACGGTGCAACTGAGAGGTTCCGAGTTTTTTGCTTGTTATACTGCAGTCGCTAATCAAAATCCAATCTCGGATGAAGCAGATGTTTCAATACTGACTTTTGGCCTCAACTCAATTCTATAACAACAACATCCTAGAGAGATCATTGGGGGCATGCCAGCCAATCAGATTCAGATGAAGGATCGAAATAGAGGACGACGACCCTTTGAGGAAGATGCACAGATTGGCTACTCAAGTAAGTGCCCGCAAAAAGATTGAATGGCAGGCTAATGTCTCACTAAAACAATTGATTAAACTCTTACGGAGGGGTAGCAAACAACAATCCACGGGCCCCCTTTGAGAGCAGACGCGCATGTAGTGCAAGAGGCCACGAGCGCGCACTCACTGCGTGTAATCTCCACTAGAGAGTGCAGCTACACAAAGAGAGAGGCGGTGCCAAACGAAAAGGACAACAGGATCCAGCTTCGACCGCGCTTCCGCAAACTGCAAAGGTGAGAACATGCGGGGGAGACCATCGCACGCCGTGCGCGCCGCAGACAGGTGGAGAGATTACGAGTTTGCGAGAAGGGACGCACGCGGCAACCCCGGTGAAGGTCGGCGCGTGGCCTGGCAACTTGACTTGTTTGCCCATGCATTTTGGTGCTCTGTGTCGTACCTTTTTTCCAATTTCCGGGGTCGCGTTCTGATCTCTCTCTTGTTTTTTTTTCCGTGATGGGGCGGTAGAGGGTTGCGTTCTGCTCTCTCTTTTTTTTTTTCCGTGATGGGGCGGTAGAACATGCCCTCTTTGTGGTGGGTGATGGGGTACCCAAGCCGCAGCGCATTGTGGCATCGGTGCGCGCCGCAACAACGTGGAGAGAGTAGGAGTTTGCGAATGGAATGCACGCGGTAATCCCGGTGAAGTTCGGCTTGTGGCCTGACAACTGGACTTGTTGGCCCATACATTTTGGTGCTCTGTGGCGCACGTTTTTGTTATTTTCCGAGGTCGCGTTCCGCATCTTTTTGCATTTTTTTCCTGATCGCCTTTTTACCGACATGGAACGGTAGAACACCCCTTTGAGGTGGGTGAGGGTGTAACCAATCCGTAGCACTTTTATGGCATCGGTCCGCGCCGCAACAACGTGGAGAGATTGCGAGGTTGTGAAATGGATTGCACGCGGCAACCCCGGTGAAGTTCGGCGCGTGGCCTGACAACTTGACTTGTTTGTCCATGCGTTTTGGTGCTCTGTGTCGCACCTTTTTTTTTATTTGCCGGGGTCGCGTTCTGCGTTCGTTTGCGCTTTTTTTTTACGGTGATAATTGATAGAACATGCCCTCCTTGCGGTGGGTGAGTGAGGGTGTAAACCAGGCCGCAGCGCTTTGTGGCATCGGTGCGCGCCGCAACAACGTGGAGAGATTACGAGTTTGCGATATTGAGCTCACGCGACAACTCCGATGAATTTCGGCGCGTGGCGTGACAACTTGACGTGTTTGCCCATGGATTGTGGTGCTCTGTGTCGCACCTTTTTTTTTTCCGGAGTCACGTTCGTATTTTCTTTTTGTGTCAATACCGTGATGGGTCGGTAGAACATGCCCGCTCGTGGTGGGTGACGGTGTTACCAGGCCGCAGCGCTTTGTGGCATCTGTGCGCGCCGCAGACATGTGGAGATATTACGATTTTGCGAGATGGAACGCACGTGGCGGCCCCGGTGAAGTTCGGCGCGTGGCCTCACAACTTGACTTGTTTGCCCATGCATTTTGGTGCTCTGTGACGCACTTTTTTTTTGGGGTTCGCGTCCAGCATTCTCTTCGCGCTTTTTTGTCGTTAGAAAATGCTGTCACGTGGTGGGTGGGGTGTGAGGGTGTAACCTGGCCGCAGCGCGTTGTGGCATCGGTGCGCGCCGCCGACACGCGAAGAGATAACGGTTTTGCGAAATGGAAGGCATGCGGCAACCCCGGTGGAATTCTGCGCGTGGCCTGACGACTTAACTTGTTTGCTCGTACTGAGTTGGTGATAAAACCGCAGCGCCTCGTGGCAGCGCCTCGTTCAAGGTGAATGATCTGGGACAAGCCCCATTTTGGCTCTTGATACGCTTCAACATGGGGGAAAATTGTGCTGGGTAGAGGCAACAAGTCACCATGGCATGTCAGTGATCGTTCTAGAACTTTGTTTGGCACGAACACTGGTAAACAGCGTTGGACTTTCGTGGCGTAGTGTCCAGCAGCGTCTATAGTCTTTGGGACAACATCAACTATTTTATCAGTGCACGATGTAGCCAAGTATTTTGGCGCAGGCAGATACACCGGTACTACTGCCGTCCCTGTGTTTCAACATCACCCTTTTTACAATTGTCCGCGGGTGACACGTTCATGTACATGACACACAAAGGTAGCCAACAGCAGTAGCCAGGTGCCAACGAAAAGGACAACAGAATCCTGCTTCGACCGCGCTTCTTCAAATTGCAAAGGTGAGAGCATGTGTGGGTGACCCTCGCACGCGGTGCCGCGCAGATGGAGAGATTACGAGTTTGCGAGATGGGACGCACGCGGCACCTGGTCAAGTTCGGCTTGTGGCCATGCATTTTGGTGCTCTGTGTACTGTCGCACCTTTTTTTTATTTCGGGGGTCGCGTTCTGCATTTCCTGGTACATATTTAACTAAGGGAAATGGACAAAAGTGGGTATACCCACCCCTTTCTCGGACAAAAGTGGG